CACAGAGCTGAATTTCACACTATGTTGGCTGCTGCATCCAGAGATTAACAATTTTCTCTTTTCATGTATTTTGCAGAGACTCAAGCTACACCTCTTAGGGGTTTTACAAAGAAAAAGAAGAAACTTTTATTTCCAGTTTATTAGGAAATATGAGTAAGTCCAGTTTTAACAATAAATGCTAGTAGAAATAATATCAGTTGCTGAAAACAACTAAAATTGGACTCAAATTCTTGATCACGAACTAGAACTGAAATTCTTTACTGGCGATTGAGAGACGGGGACATCCGAGTCGAGATCAGAAGCCAATTTTATTGAGTATACAAGGCGTTTATATAGGGTTTTACTTGTATGGCACTTACAAGGGTTCTATTTTTGGTAACAATTTCCCACTGGTTATATGTTCTTCATGGCATCAGTCACCTGGTAATCATTACAAAGTTTCACAACGTATTTCTTGGTTGCTTCTATCCCAGGGAGTAGTTATCTGTGTCTGTCTCTCCCATGGTTTCTGTTCAGTTAGGCTCCTTTATCAGTCCCATTTTGCTCGCTGTTTTATTCCCCATACTTCTTGATATGAGAGCTAGGCCTAAACTGCAGAATGTGAAAAGAACAGGTATAACCATGTGGAGGAAAGAAAAGTGAGAATGACAATGAGATGAAAGGGAGGATAAAAATGGCATCCTAGTAGCAGATTACAGTCATGTAAAATACATCACCCTCTTTTTTCCTTCACGCTGTCCCAAAAATACACACGGAAGTGACTACAACAGAAACTCAGGATTAGAAACATAGGTACCATTGCCTTTGTCACTTTGAACACTGCAGTGTGCAGACAGCACAACATAAATGTTTTCTCCTGCTCTCTTGCTACAGAGCCTGCATTGAAGTGTTTTCTGTGGGCTCAGCACACGGCGTTGCTGCATCAATCAGCATGACACCCTGTGGGTTAATGCACAGAAACTCCCAGGTTAAGCCCTCCCTGTCTCAGTTCCTGATGTCAATATACAACAGAGCCATCTCATTGCATCTAAACTTGAGTTGCTCCACGGGTGGATGAACAGCATAAAGCCCTGTGCTGGGTCTGAACTCAGCCTCACACTTTTGAAATTCTCTGGGGCTTCCAAAACTCTCTGATGGATTTTGATCTCCAGCTTTCCTGAATGGTTTCAATAATAGCCATCCAGAGACTGAAGTCCAATTCTAAGGCAGCCTATGTTTTGTGAGGGCATTGAATGATTTTGACTTCAGGGAGAAAAATACAGCCATAATAGAAAATCTGTCTCTAAATGCTGCAATGTGACTACAATCTGTGAGGTCAAGTTAACCCTTCCCAAAATAATTAACTTCCACTCTCATCTGGAGGGAAAAGTAATTGACTTACAGCACAAGATAAAGAGGGCTCCAGCATATATGCTATTTTATATTGTGAGCACTTAGCAAACCTATGGCAACTTTGTGCTTAGCAGCATAACTATCTCTGTACAGCCATGTAAAATAACACAATTATCTTTGGAGGTAAAGGCAAACTGTCAGCTAAACCAGGGGAGCTGTTATTAATTTTTGTGATAAAAGAAGCCCTTCTCTCCACCAACATATTTGATTTTTCAATTCAAATTGGAAATTCCTCTTCAGAAACCACTGCTGTCAGTAATCCTTTTAATTTATGGTATCCAGAATACAGTAATTTCTATATTCTGTACCTTAAATCAACTGAACTTTTACATATTGCATTTCTTTCACGACTTTAACTTTCTGGTCAGGTGCTTCAAAAGAATTTAAAGATGAGGAGCACTACCCAAAGAAAAGCAACAAATAATGCTTTAAGGTCAATCTTCAAGCCACAGTGTGGATTGAATTTGGCATCCACTGGATGTCAATGGAGGTCTGCATTTTATCTGTATTCAAGAGATGGATGTGTGTTATTTTAAAACTAGATCTCATTACTGATTTTATTAGGATAATTTTGCAGGTTTTAGTGGGGATGGCTCTTTTCCCAGTATTATTATTCAGTGCCTTCTGGTAGCTGGTAGAGGGAGCTGTTATCACAAAATGTCAAATGCCAGTAATGTGGAGACAACGTCCATTATCTCTCTCACTGCTAGTCCAGGACAGAGGTAGATTCAATAAGTTTGGTGCTCAGTCAAGACTGGGAAGTGCAGGAAATACTGAAGGTAGTTGCAGGGATGGCAGCAGTGAGACTGGCATGAAGAGAGAAAGGTTTTGCAGTGAAGTGGAACATGCTGAACTGATGCTTGGAAACCATGAGAAGTATCATGTTTAATTAGTGTAGCTGTGCAAATGATGTAATGAGGCGTTTGAGAATGAATTTGAATAGCAGTTGGATAAAAGATTAGTAATCAGGATGTCTGCCATCCATCAGAGGCTCAGGAGAGGGGTGTACAAGACACGTTGCCATATGCATCAGAAATGTCCAGATATAGAAATACACACTGACACAGGATGCTGCAAAGAGATGGTGGAGCAGCCAGCTGTAAGGAAAATCTGGGCAGCTGCAAAGTTGAAAGCTGAGAATGGGGCAAGACCCCATAGCACCTTGAAATCCAGTAGTCCCTGATACACCAGTAGTTACCAGTGTGACAGAGCCCAGCTGTGGACAGAAGTTTATGATGGTAAAATTCAAGATTCCACAGAGTGTCTTACAGCAAATGAACAGTTCAAGGAAGTGAGGGATAAAAGATGAGATTTCCACGGGGGTAGCTCAATGAGGACACTGCAAATTGCTGCTCTGAAGAAATTTCAAAGTGGTAAATGTGTCATTATTCATTCACTAGCCAAAAGCAATGGCCAAAAGATGGCAGACAGCACCATCCCAATGCTCTGCAAGGTCTGCAAGTCAAAACAGATAGTGAGTTATTTGGTGAGGGAGGGAATATCTTTATTAATATTAAATAAATTACACCGCACCTCTGTTAGAATTCAGCCGATAGGCAATGACCAGGCCTAGCAACAGTGATTAAAAGACCTCATTCATATCTAATGATCACACAGAGTAATAATCTCATTGTAAAAGGCAATCAGACACTTGTTCACTCTTCTTATCTCTGCTCCACATTTGTAGTTACTAAGAAAGGATCTGCCTTTGATCATCTTTTCCTGTGCTGCTCTTTAAGCCATTTCATTAAAGGGCCAGAATTTCCTGGATTAATGGCCATTTGTCATTCCCAAATCAATCTTGCATGGAGTCTGTTGAGACTTTACAAACATTTCTTCAAATGTTTTTTCAGAATTACAGTAGTTACTAATGTTGTGCTCAGATGAGGTGGTTTTGTTTGAAAAGACAACAGAAACAAAAACAAACAAACAAACAAACACAAAACAAAATGAGCCTGCCAGAGCAGCTTCTGGTTTTTATTTAATTTTATTTTTTATTTTATTTTATTTATGTATTTAATTTTTATTTATTTGTTATTTATTTTATTATATTATTTTTATTTACATTTACATATATGTATGGAGATCTTAACTGAAATTTTATTTAAAAGAAGAAATAAATACATTGATTGAGTCCAGTTTTGCCTGCATACCTAAAGTCTTAATTCTTTCAACTTTTCAATCTGATTATTTTTTTGAGTTGCCTCCAGAGCCTGGGCTCAGCCCATCTGTCACTGTTGAGCTCTTTACTATTTCTATTTCATTTATATCTACCACATCTGCTTTTTAGACTCAAGCCTGGCTGGTAAACTTTTTTTAAAGAGCCAAGTATTTTAATAAAATCAGTGTCATGCTAAAACCTCTTTTTTTGAAGGTTCCCCTTCAAAGACTACCACCTCCCCTGTCTCAGGGAAGCATAGCCATTCTGGTTGCTCATAAAGGAAATTCAGTCCTTCATAACAGTGGAGGGCTGGAATTCAGTGGCACAGCTTTTCTTCAGGATTCAGATTTACCACGGGACTGGTACTACTGCCATCCTACGTCTGAGGGGGAATTTTAGTATTTAGCTGGGATGTGAATTTTGATTTGGGGTTTGTGGCTTTTTCCTCTACAGACAGAAACAACTTTCCAGTTCTTCAGTGGCACAAGACCGTGAAGTGCCATTGGTCATCCCCATCCTATGCCAAGATTGCTTCCCATACAACTCTAACATGCTTGCTAAGAGGCACAACAAATTTAATACAAACCACACAGAGACCTCTTACCCTTTTCAATCAGTCCATGCATTCCTGACCAGCAGGTGTGAATCACTCCACTTTTACGGTGGTGTCATAGAGAAGGCAAGACACTAAACATTCAATGACTGTGTCTCAGCTCTTGGAAACTAACACAAGACACATGCCACTAGATTTTCACAGTGCTCTTTAGGTAGGTAATTCCTTTGCACATGGATTTTCAGAGCTGCTAATGTGTTAGTCATTAGGGTGACACCAGAGACCTAACTGAGGCTCTCAAAATGTGAATTCCAGAGCTGCTAGGCTGTGACTGGTACCAACTAAGACTATTAGCAGACCTTTTTCCCTAAGCAAGGAGACCCAGGCAGAAACATGCTGGGCCATTCACCATCCAGTTGAAGCTCCTGCAGATGAAAGGCATTTCTCACCTCTCCAGATCAAGTGCTTGCTGTGAAGTTTGGAAAGAGAGGGGTGACAAAGGTGTAGCCATGGTTTGAGGTTCCAGGTCATGAGACACTATTCCTGTCCTTAACTGGGGTAAAAGCACAAGTGTTGCTGCTAGCAAGCAGTAATGGGACATCACAATTTGACTTGCTCCAGGCAGCCCTCTTTGGCTAGCTTGTGCCACAGGGACACCCACACATTCACCACATTCAGTGTGAACTGGTCCTGCTGAAAAGAGGACCCCTCAGTTTGGTCCTGCACAGCCTCAGCACTGTGCAAGCCACAGCACTACACCCTGGATGTCTAATTAGGTACCTCCAACCAAATGCAGCTTCAGTTTGTAAATGTGATTGCATTGCTTTGATTTTTACTGTTTTAACAGTAATTCACCTAAGTGACTCCCGTTCAATGGAGAGGTGTACAACAGGTCACGCTTCACTCAGCTGGGGCGGTTCGGTTCGATCAGCATTCAATTCTTGCAATGAAACCTTCCACAATTAGGCTGACCAGGACCTGCAAGATGAAATTGTGATAACAAATTACATTCTTTCTGAAAGAGGCTTGAAATGCCCGACTGGCAAGACAGAAGGCAGCAGAGAGCTGAGGAATCAAACCTCACAACAGCCCCTGTTAAACCTACAGTGATGTAGCTACCACGCATCTTTTTACCATCTCTCTAAAGCTTGTTTAAATTTACTGTGGGCACAAGCTCAACAAAAGCTTATAAAAGAGGTACCTGTGGCTTCCAAATTAAGCCCATTTTCTCTAATTAGCCTCCTTCTTCGCAATTTTCCTTTTTCCTCTACTCTTAAAACAGAAAAAAAAAAAAAAAGGCAACAGCAATATTGTGAAGGCTATAAAATCCATGTGCTTTTACTGAGTCGGGGCTTGACATGCTGGAATTCTTCTGGAAGAGAAGTACAAACTTCATCTGCAAAATGGACAAGGGAAATTAAGTGTTCTGGTTGACTTGGACATGGTTGTGAGAAACCTTATCCATTTGCCTAACATTAATTTCCACCTGGTTATATTCTGAAGGAGTTTGTCCTCTCCTTGGAAGTTGATTCCCAGCACAACTGTTCATTGTTTACAAGCCAGCTTCTTTTAACTCCTCCTGCTGACAGAGCAAAACCTCATTTCATACTGTAATCTGATGAAAGTCTGACTGAAAGCAACCAGCACAGAAGTAGTTTATGGCAAGTGCTGTCCTTGCTGTTAGGTTATCATTGCAAAGAGCAGGAGCAGGTAATTTGTTCGTTAATGTGAAGAAAAAGCAAATAAAAGACTTCTTCTAGGACCATTCCATAACAGAGGAGCTCTAAGCTAATAATTTTTATCAGTAGACTATGAGGAGTGAGTGGCTCTAATAATCAGGAATGGTTGCAGAGCGAAGAACTCAGTTCACATACCCTGTGCTGGGCTCAGAAATAAATCTGGATTCTCCACAAGCCCAGTTCATCTAGCCCTGCTTTAAGCTCTCTCTCCAGCACAGGGAGATTGTGTCCAGAGAGTGCAAAATAAAAATCTTCAGTTATCTTTGGATCCCTGTTTGGATTCTTCAGGACTAAGAGCATCTCATCTTTCCCAGCTCTGTCACACAGGCAAAGGACATCTGCTTCCACTTCCCTAGGGACCATGAAGCATAAATTGGGTAACCCACAGCCTGTGCCAAGCAGCAGAACTATCCCATCCTTTATTTTCAGCCACTTAAAATTTTAACCAGTTCTCCTGGAAAGCAGTTATATTTAGGGATCAGAGAGATAGTGGGTGGGGGGAAGCAATTCCCTCTAAGACATGGACATTCAAAGCCAAGGAGTTGTAGTTTCTAAATCTAGATTAAAGGGCCTAATAAAAAATGCTTCAGATCTCAACAATGGCCCAAGCACTGCACTAGGAGTTATTCCTGTGTTTTATTTAGCTGAGCAAGAGACATGCTTCTCTGGAGAAGCACACCAATGCCTCAGATAGATGCTGCTCCTAGGTAAGGATCTCAGAGAGAAAGTTTCTCTTCATCCTCTTGGCCGGTAGATTTATGCATGCTTATATAAAAAATTCCTTTGTGTTGGGCGTGCACTGTTGTTTGCCTCAAAAGAAGGGTGAGCATGGTCATGGCGCCTGGACCATCAGCTCTTGGCAGCAGTTCTGGAGAGGTTGGAGCCCTTCACCTGCCTCCTCCTCCCCACTGGGGCAATACTGCAGCTAAGCACAGTGAGTAGCCACCTCTTGCTGACCATATTGCTGCCGGCTGGAGCAGGGTGGAAGGTACAGTGATGTCCAGGCAGGAGAGGTGTTAAACAGGGCAGAGTGGCATCTCTGTGTGCAGCACCTGCAGCCCTGGGGGCTGACCCAAACACACTCAGTCAGCCAACAGCCATTTGTCTCCACCAAGTAATGGAAAAGCACTGTGCTTTCAAACAGTCCCCTGTCAGGACTTAATTGCAGGAGGAGAAAAATAAGTTCTACCAGAAGGACAGGTAGCTGAATCACTCACAACTTACAGCCTGCAGGGATGAGCCTGGGTAACCAGGAAGGCTCTTTCTGCTTCTAAGTACACATTGATCTATTCACTGCATGCTGAAAAACTTCAGGCTTTTATTCTGTACCAACAAACAGTGCTGTCATTTAGGTTGTAGCAGGTATTTACCCCCTTCCTGCCTTTCCTCAGAGACATGAATAGTGTTATGAGCGCAAAGAAAATATCTGTGAAAAATAAAAGGCCTCATAATCAGTGGAGCCCAAGCTGAACTAAACTTAACAGAGCAGACCTGGAAAATCTTCAGTTCTCCATAAAGACATTATAGAGAGGCAACACATATATAACACAACACCTGATGGCTTGTTTGTTTTAGCAAAAAGAGTTATTATCAAATTACTTAGAAATGCTTACACTACATGTGAGGTTTTTCTCTATTTGTTGTTTGCAAAATATGGTCATCTTTTATCTCCACCCAGAGGTCTTGATTTTCATCTTTATTCAAAGTTAACAAAGCTAACCCAAAAATTAATTCAATGAAGGTGCTTAACAGGACAATAGCTATAAATTCCTTCGAAATAGCTGGAGAAATTAAGGACTATTAAGACATGGAAATGATGGATCAGATAGGGTTTAAGTGATCATCTAATAGTTGCTAAGCCTAATTTAAATACAGGAAGAATATCACGTTTCATCAGCTTCCATCTTCAGATTTAAGAGCTTCTCAAGTCCTCATTTATACCTGAAGTGTCACTGGCACATACATTAAAGCTGACAAAATCCATTTACTGCAGCAAGCTGTTCGAGTTCATCTCCTTATTTTCTCCAATCATGTTAATTTTCCTTTAGTGTTCTTTGTTTATAAAAAAATAAATAAACAAGCACTTTGTGTTTATTACTCTGAAGTTCTTCCACAAACATTTATGTGCCTTTAGGAGCTGCACTTGTGAGCATTGCTGTCATTCAGTCCAATTGTTCTTTAAAATCCCCAAAAATGAGAGCTTTATCTGAGGCTCCCAGGCATTACTGTTCAAGGAAAGTCATGCATCCTTTCTCATCCTCCCTCAGCCATGGGAAGAAACTCTGGAGAAGACAACCCACAACTTTTCCATCATCCTCATTAGAATCCTAAGTTTTTTCCCTAAGAAAAGTGGAACTTTTTCTGCTCCTGTCTGGGAAGCAGAGACAGCAACAACCTTATGACTTGATTCTTTGGTATCTAGCAGAGCACATGCTCCAAAGAAAGCTCAGCACTGGTCTCCTGCCCCTGCTTGGGCCCCAGGTCCCATGAAACCAATATCCTAACACATCTGCCACCTCACCTACCTGTGTGTGAGTCTGACCAGTTTGGAAACGTGTTCTTGGGGAAGGACAGGAGGGAGTCAGACATAGAAAGAAATGTCATAGCAGCCTTATATTCTCAACACATTGATTAAAAAAAAAAAAAAAAAAAA